CTTGAAACCTGGCAGGCTTTGTGGCCTCAGTAAGAGCTATCACCCCTGCAGTTTTGACCCCCCTGTGGTGTGACACACAGCCATGACAGGAGTTTGGCTTTCAAGAATTTGGGGTACAGTTGCCCCAAAACCCTTGCACTGATCTTCTTGAAACTTGACAGGCTTTGTGGTCTCAGCATAGGCTACCATCCCTGCAGTTTTTTACCCTGCTATGTTGTAACACTTAGACGTGACATGAGCTTTGCTTTCAAGAATTTGGGATGCTGTTTCCCCCAAACCCCTGTACCGATCTTTTTGAAACATGGTAGGCTTCATTCTCTCTGCAGAGCCTACCATTTCTGAAAATTTCATCCAAATCAGACAAAAAATGACAAAATTATAGGTATTTTATTGTTTCCCCATTATACCCTGTGGCCGGATCTTAGAGGTGGCTCCGAGGCGGCTCTGAACTGCTTTGGGAAGCTGAAGGAGGTCGGCGCTTCAACTTGGATGTGCTGCTTCGGACCCCAAAGCTTCTTTGGATCCGAAGCTCTGTCCGAAGCCTAGCACAGCCCTATCAGTAACAAGAGGAGGATCAGGGAAAGTGTGGGTCCTTTAAGAAATGAGGGATGCAACCTAGTGACAGAGGATGCAGAAAAGGCTGAAGTGCTCAATGCCTTTTTTACTTCAGTGTTCACAGGCAATGTCAGCTCCCAGACTGGGAAGGAGCACAGTCTGGGAAGGAGGTAAGCAGCCAACAGGGGTAAAAGAACAGGTTAGGGACTAATAGAAAACCTGGATGTATACAAGTTTATGTGGCCACAGAGAATGCAGAAGGTGCTGAGGGAGTTGGCTGATGTGATTGCAGAGCCACTGGCCATCATCTTTGAAAACTCATGCGGATCCAGAGTAATCCTGGATGACTGGAAAAGGGCAAATATAGTGCCCATCTTTAAGAAGGGGAAGAAGGAGAATACAGGGAACTACAGACTCACATCAGTCCCTGGAAAAATCATGGAGCAGGTCTCAAGGAATCCATTTCTAAGCACATGGAGGAGGAGAAGAAGGTCATTAGGAACAGTCAGCATGGATTCATCAAGGGCAAGTCATGCTTGACCAACCTGATTGCCTTCTATGATGAGATGACTGGCTCTGTGGATGCAGGAAGAGCAGTGGATGTGATATACCTTGACTTTAGTAAGGCTTTTCATATGGTCTCAGTCCTGGGGCCAGTTTTGTTCAATATTTTCATCAATGACCTGGAAGATGGCATAGAGTGCACCCTCAGCAAGTTTTCAGATGACACCAAGCTGTGGGGAGTAGTAGATACGCTGGAGGGTAGGGCTAGGATTCAGAGAGACCTCAACAAATTAGAAAATTGAACCAAAAAAAAAAAAAAATCTCACAAAGGTCACTAAGGACAAGTGCAAAGTCCTGCACTTAGGATGGCAAAATCCCATGAACTGGTACAGGCTGGGGACCAACTGGCTAAGCAGCAACTCTGCAGAAAAGGACACAGTGGTTACAGTGGACAGTAAGATGAATATGATCCAACAGTGTCTCTTTATAGCGAAGATAGCTAATGGCATACTGGGCTGCATTGTTAGGAGCATTACCAGCAGATCGAGGGATGCGATTATTCTCCTCTATTCAGCACTTGGGAGGCCACGTCTGGAGTACTGAGTCCAGTTTTGGGGGCCCCACTATAGAAAGGATGTGGGCAAATTGGAGAGAGTCCAGCAGAGGGTAATGAAAATGGTTAGGGGACTGGGGCACATGCCTTATGAGGACAGCTGAAGGAACTGGGCTTATTTAGACTAGAGAAGGGAAGACTGATGGGAGATTTAATTTAATCCTTCAATTCCCTGAAGGGGGGTTCCAAAGAGGATGGAACTAGACTGTTCTCAGTGGTGGCAGATGGCAGAACAAGAAGCAATGGTCTCAAGTTGCAGCAAGGGAAGTTTAGGTTAGATATTAGGAAGAACTTTCTCACTAGGAGGGTAGTGAAGCACTGGAACAGGTTACCCAGAGAGGCGGTGGAATCTTCATCCTTGGTGGTTTTTAAGACCCAGCTGGACAAAGCCTTGGCTGGGGTGATACAGCTGGAGCTGGTCCTGCTTTGAGCAGGGGGTTGGACTAGATCACCTCCTAAGGTCCCTTCCAACTCTAATGTTCTATGATTCTATTATTCCAAACCTACTTTTCTATGCTTTTATGATTAATTTGGACAAGTTTCCAAGTGCCTAACTCATTTTTGGAAATGGGATTTCAGTATCTCTCTCACACAGATACTTTTGAGAACTGTACCTAAAGGCTAATAGCTCTGAAGGGACTGAGGAGTTTTAGGTATCCACATTTCATAGAAACTCAGTGGGAGATGATGGTCTAACTCCTTTGAGCTACTTTGAAAATCCTACCGTAAATGTCCCAGAATTCAAATATTAATCTAATCAGACTCCTTGGACTTCTGCCTTGTGGGACTTGAATACTTTAGAGTCTAAACTCTAAATTCCAAAAGGAGACAGTCCCGGCTTACAAATATTGTGGATTATATTTTGTCCAGGGACGATACTTGGCACACTTCTATAGAACTTTGAATTAAGCACTAGATTACCTAGCAGCATACAACAGCCATTGAGTGAAATGCCAGTCTGAAATATATAGCATTTACTAGGGCTCAACCCCATAGACACTAGTTATTGGACACAGTGAGGGAATCATTCATGGTAGTCAGTCTTAGATTTCATAGTAACTGATAGCAGAATCAGGCCCATAGACTGCATATATGATGCCTTCAGAGAGTTATCAAGACTGATAGTTTGGGGTTTGTGTCATTTAAGTGTATAATACAAATCACACATGAGAAGAGTTATGTGCCATTCATTTATACAGGCCTGGGACAGTGGTATGAATTTCTATATAGTATTAACAAACATGAGAAGGTAAAATAATAGCTAATATATATACTGCACACTGTTCTCTCTCATATCAAAGTCAGGATTTTGTTCTTGTTTTTCCACAGAAACATATTAGAACTAGTTATAAATGTGGCTAAGACTGAATGGCATAAATTGCTTAGAAGAGACTATCTTGACTGTGTTACTCATGGGTTGGGGATCTACATACAGCTGCATTTTCACCACTAAGTCAGTAAGTTCTAGAATTATCCACAGACACATTGGCACTGGCTCAGACTGGCTAACAAAATTTTAAGAAATATTTTCAAGAGCAAAGCAGAGATTTTTCAGGTCCTCTTTCATTTGTTTGAGTGTGGTCTTGACTTTCTGGGGTGTATTCAGAACCTCTATGCTGCAGGTGAATGGATCATAGTGAAGAGTAAAAGGCTTCTGGATTTTCAAAGCATAGCTTCTGTGGGGGAAAATGATATATCCACAAGTCCAAACATTATTTACCTATATACATAATCTATGAGGCCTAATTTGTCACTTTTTTACTATACTTTTATGGCAGAATGGGAGTGTCTACATGTGCAATTAATGTGACTGAATAAACCGCAGCACAATTTGAATTGGAGTAAGCTAATCCTGACATCACTGTCTACACATGCATTTAAGCACAGTAATTTACTCCACTGTTGGATAATACCTGTGTCTGATGGGACTATCTGACAGTACTTTAAATTAGTTTACGCGCATGTAGACAGTGATGCTTTACTGTGCAGTAAATTAGTCTACTGTGCAGTAAAGCACAGATGTGGATGTGCCCAATTAGGCTAGTACTGAACTGGAGTAATTCAGGAGGGGAGCACACCCATTCAGTTATTTTTCTATTTAAAAGTAACCATGATAACCATCCTTATAGAGAAGAAAAAAAATGGTATGTATGTATTACAAGTCCCAGAATATTTTCCTCTGTCCTTTGAATGAACAAAACAGTGATACCAGTCATTTATGGCAATGTTTCCATTTGGAATTTATGGCTGCTTATAGAAAAAAAAACCCAAAACAAAACACGCTTTACCAGAAGCAGCAGCAGCACGTTAGTTCAACCTGGCTCGGCAGCATCTGCATAGATCATGTGCTTCAGCAGGACTTTTTAGCACTTATCTAATAGCTGACTGAATCAGCTATTGGATAAAAGCAGCAAAAAAGCCTCACTAAAGCTCCCAATCTACACAGTTGTTGGGCTAGCTGGATCCAACTAAAGCAATACTTCTTTGGGACATGTGCTGGGCTCAGCGCAGGAGTGCACTGACTTTAAAGCACCACTTTTTTAATGTCTGTAAGCAGCCTAGTAGGTGCTAATAGTGACCTCTGAACTTAGGTTGCCCAGCAAAGGATTCTTGTGACTTTTCCAGAAGCTAAAACACAGCTATAGTGGGTCTTGGAAATATGGCATAGAAAAAGTCCTGAAGCCAAAGAAAAGTGTTTTCCTTTTTTCTTGTGAATTTCTGTTCAGGTTTGACTAAAATATATGCTCTTGAAAATCATTATTTCTCTTCTGCCCTGTGACTTTTTAGCAGAATGTTTACAGAAAACTAAATTAATAACTGAACATGAACACTGTAATCTAAGGCTATGTCTAGCCTGGCATCACTCCCAAAACAGCAAACCATGCCATGGGAACCTTGGAACAATAGCCTCATTTGGAGAGTTAAGAAGGCGATTTAGACTAGTGTCCCATCTTATGACCAATGCCTTCCCTGACCCAGTACATAACCCCTGCCATCTATTTCCCTTATCCTGTGGGAACAAAGCCTTCTGGTGTACACTAACAGAACTGGTTCTGTAGTTAAAGCTGTGCTCAAGGAAGAGCCAAGGCTTCAGCATTCTCAAAACCATTGCTGGCACAGATACCAGATGTGACAGGAGTACAATATTGTGTTTTCTGCACTAAAGATTAGGATTTGGCCTGATGTATTCACCTGAATCAGGGGTCAAACTCCGGGCCACAGAGCTTTTGGATCCCACCCACAGAACCACGGATTTGGCAGCATTCAGTGGCAGGGCCTCTGTCTGCCCTGCACCACAATTGGGCACTCAGGACCTTGGCAGATGGGGAACTTTCTCTCTGGTGTGCCACAGTTGGACAGCAGGGAGAAGTGGCAGAGGTGGCTGGGTCATACTGCCCAGTTGCCTGAAACCTAAGCTGGGTTGTCAACCCCTCGTGTAAATGAAGAAGCTATGCAGCAACACCATACTCACTGGAGTTTTGCTTTGGCATCTTCAAAATTTTCTGCTATGAAGTAGACAGGCTGGAAGGTCTGATCCTGATATGGGTGAACTGCAGTCACTTCTGGATCAAATGGCTTGTACTCAGGCTTGTTTGATAAAGCAAACTGTAGAAAAAAGCAACAGCAGCAACAATAACAATTAGAATTAAATGAATAAAAATATAGTGATTAAGAATCTAGAATCTATTGGGGATGGCTCATGATGAATTACTGGAAACTACAATTATAGTTTAAAGTTTATTTTAATAAACTGTGCCTTGTACATTAAAGCAGTGTCACATGGGAGCACTATAGCCCTTCTGTAGAAACAAATTCAGAGTCTGAAACCATTTAAAAATGTATTTATGGATGTTAATGATGAAGTTAAATGGAAGTCATGGATATACATGCTGGCGAGTGCATTGACAAGAAAAGAAAACTGTTGCAAGTTACCCCTTCTCTGAAGTTTACATCGCGTGTACCAAAACACAGATTTTTGGCTTCACTGAGGGACAGTCAACACATTCCCTGCCTATCTGCCCAGCCCTGCAGTATATACAGCAGCCTAAAGGTTGCTCTAACATATACCAGCTGGCAATAGTTCCCAAGAGGATATCTAGCACCTCCTTATTGTCCAATCCTTTTGCACCACTTCACCAGTTCAAGTAGAGCAACATGGATCAAAGAATCTGGCTCTAAAGTGCCAAATCTACTGAAGATGGGTGAGTGAACAAGAGCAAGGAAACAGCCAGAATTGCAGAGAATGCCACATCTTTTTTAGCAAAACCAAGTCTCTCCCTTTCATAAACATGAAATGCAGAGTAATAATGAGCAGGGACCAGCGCAAAGCAATGCGGCTGGGTCCCTGGGGCACAGGGGCAGCGGGAACTTGCCTGTGGTGCAGCAGCAACAGGATGATCATGAACATAGCTCTGCTGGTGGCAGTTGTTCTCCCTCCCCCCTCCTGCCATAACAGAGTGATTATGATCGGGGCAGTTGCCCCACCCTAGTTCCACCACCGGCAAGGACTCTGGGGCAAATAATAGCAATTAAGCACAAGCCACAAACTCCCTTACTAAACAAAAATAAAGACTGAACACTGAGGGCCAAATTCAGTCATAAGGTATGTGTACACAATTCCCATGGAAGTCAGTGGAAGATTTGCCTGTGTAACTGAAGGTAGAACTTGGCCTCAGTGAATATAGAAACCCAGAAACATATCATTTGGTGGAAGAACTTCAACAGAGTCTAATGAATTTCTCATGTCACTAGAAGAACACTTGGCTCTGGGATATCACTAGAGTAAAATGCAAGAAACTCCTGAGCATCACTGAAATCACAGCAAATCTTAACTCTTCTCCAGTCAGCAGAATATTATCAGGAAACAGATAAATAATCCACAGTTTTTAGCACTTAAAGTTGGCAATACCACAAATGATCAGAGACTCTCTCGAGTCTTAAATTTAAATAGTCAGCTCTAATTTTTATCTGAGGCTAATTGGCACAAAACAAACTTTTCCAACCAGGAGATCTTACAATACCTTCAGCTCTCCTGTGAAATATGAATTTTTATTTCCACCTAGGATAAATTTTACAATCTTTGCATTCTCTATGCCTGAAGAAGGGCAAGTGTGCCCGAAAGCTTGCAAATAAAGACTTTTTTTGCAAATACAATAAAATCCCTGTTATCCAGCATGAGTGAGGAATGCCAGATGCCGGTCATGTAAAAATTCTGGTTATCTGAGGCAGATAATGTAGAGCGGGATGGGGTGGTGGTGGCCACATGCAGAGCGGCAACAACACAGGGTGGCGTGTGGTAGCCGCTGCCACGTATGAACTTTTCCACCCTGGGTCCATCCAGCCAGCCAGAAATTCCAGTTAATAAAGTATTCTACCTTGTAGAACGCTGGATAACAGGGATTTTACTGTATCTAGTTGGGTTAATAAAAGATATCACCTCTACCACGAGCCCCTCTGTTTGGCACTCTCTCTGATATTTGAGCTATGAATCCAGTTTTGAATCACTTGCCTCCTACCAAATAAGGATCTAAAATCTCTTTCTAAATACCAAGGTATGCTTGCTAGGGCTGTGCAAAGCTTTGGTCCCCAATTAGATTCAGTGGAGATTGAACCCAATTCAGTGGCCAAATCTCCAAATCTGAATCAAATCAGAGGACCCCTTAATCTCTCCGAATCAGACCCCTCCAAAATTGATTGAGAGAGATTCGGAAAGATTCAGAGATTCGGACATAGAGACAGCTTTAAATGTTTTTTTCTACATACCTCTAGGTAGCAGGAGCTCATGAATGCTGTGATGCTGGGGTGCATGGAGTGTCCCACAGAAGTGCAGGGGGTTCCCCAGTGCACTTGGCAGCAGACCCAGAAGTGGACCAGAAACATGTCCAGTCCACTTCTGGGTCCTCCCTGCACCTCCTTGGCTCAGTGACTGGTGCCTCCTGCAGCTGATCGCTGAGCCAGGGAGGGGTGTGTGTGGGGGGGGGCTCAGCACGCTCCCTGGCAGACCTGGAAGTGGACCGGAAGTACTTCTGATCCAATTCCGGGTTTGCTGCTGAGCATGTGGAGGGCCCCCCCTGCACTCCTGTAGGACTCTCCATGTGCCCCAGCATCGCAGCAATCATGAGCTGCACCTGCTACCTCAAGGTATGTAGAAAAAAAAACTTTTAAAGCTGTGTCTATGTCTGAATCACTGATTCTCTGAATCAGTATCAAATCTTCAGATTTGGATTCGGCCAAATTGAATCGGGGACAGGGATCTGAATCAAGGAACTGAATCACTGTCTCCAATTCAGGCTGAATCTGAATTGAATAGGGCCCTCTTCACACACCCCTAATGCTTGCCCTGGTCATGCAACTGGCACCCAAAGTGAGGCAAATTTCTCAGGAGAGTCTCTGATCTTTTGCACCATTCCCAGCTTCAAGTGCTCAAAAGTCATGGGTTAGGCTCACCCCCACCCCTTGATAATAATATATATTTTAAAAAAAACACGTTTGTTTTATCATTTTTGAACTTTTAGGGTCTAGTCAGGTTATATTTTCAAACTTTTCTCTACAGTCAGTCACAAGAGTTGCAAACAGCCTGCTTCCTCTGCAGGTCAAAGATGTGACCGAGGCATGTGGACATGCCTGAGCTGGTTTAAAATTAGCTGGCTCAAGTACCTATGCAGCACTGCAGCAGCTGCCTCAGCATCAGTCACTGGTTATGTACTCCAGGCAGTGGGGAGTGCTTTTGCAGGCTGTGTGGAAACCCAGGATTCCATAACTTGATTGCTACTGAGGCCTAAGCTAGTTACCTTAATGCTATCTTGGATATGTCAATACAAAAATCAATCATTCTGTTCGATTGCAACATAAATATACATTTTTCAATGAAAGTAGAGATTCTCCTAAATCTCTGAGCTGGGGCTTTAAGACAAACACCACATATTATGACAGTCCCATACAATGATAAAATTGCAAGAGCCAATGACACTGAATGAGATATTCAGTTCAAGTTGCTGACTTGAGAAATACAAACAGTTTCATTAAGCTTCCCTTATCTGAACTGAACCAAAATTCTGAATAATTTGAATCTCACCCTAACTTGCAGGCCAGGTTGCTATGGAAGTACGGCAGACCTTGCCTAATATTTTGGCCAAAGAAATTATAAAATTTGAGTAGATTTTGCTCTTCCCAGTTCTATCATTTGCACTGCACAATATAAAGATACACATCTGAGAATACTTATAAAGTCTAAAATGTGCGTGTTAGTAATACTCAAGCATACGGCTGTGGGAATTATAAGCTTTGTGAAACAATATGGAAGAGCTTGAGGAACTTGCAAGCCATACGACCATACTCAGCCATCGGTATTTAGGCGTAACTTATCCTTGATTTCAGTGGGAAGTTCAGCTGAAAAACTGATGGCCTGGAAGAGTGCAGAGAAATGAAGGGCTTGCTGTGCTGCAGAGGAAGCATATGTATCACTGAATACTGCCAAAAGTACAGTACAAGGTGTTACATGTTGTAGGACAGAGTCCAGCCTAAGTGTTAACATGAGGAGCATTTTACATAATGCAAAACAGCTGACAGATACAGTATAATGGAAAGCTAAAAGTTGTTTTGGGATTATTCATACAGTTCAAGGAAGCAATGTTGGCCAGTAGTGTCTCACCTCACCTGCTAAGCTTCAAGTCAAACACGGTTCTCTGCTCTTTTTGAACATCTGCATGCTACGACTAGGAGAATGAGTCCAGTGATAAAGACTCAAGTACCAGCAAGAGGCAGACGACATACAGCTCTCCTTATCCTTCATCACCTATGACCCTATCACTCCCACCACAATGACCCAGAACTTGGAAGGAATCAGATCTTGGGTAAAAAGCAGTTGGCTGAAGCTGTACTTGAGCAAGACAGAGATGAGGTAGGTGGAAAACATTCTGGAAGTGTCCACGCCTGTACTGTAGGTTCTTCTAGTTGAAAGAATATGCCTGCAATTCGTCATATCAGTTGATAATTTAGGAGTGTTCTTGGATTTCTTGTTGACAAGCATTCGTATGGTGGTATTATACCTTATCATCTCCGCTTTAGGAATCCCCATCTCATCTGGTCAGACAGTGACTTGACCTCAGTTAGTCATACCTCATCACCTCTGAACTGGATTATATGTAATACTTGGGAGTGACTCCACTAGACTTACAAAACTGCAAGCATGTAACACTCTAGTATGTCTCCTCAGCAATACGAGTTACCATGAGCACATCAGTCCTGTCCTTCACTCTCTACACAAGTATTTAATATTCTGTGGTAACATGTTGAGATCTCATTTCTCATATTCAAAGCATTCCACAGCCTGTGCCCAGGGGAGCTACAACTCTGGAATGAATGGTGAACAAATCTGTTCATCTGAAAGATTCAAATTTTTCATAATCAAAAGAAATTCATCTGTGCGGGAGACAGAACTTCCTTGGGAATCACTCAGACTGTGGCCTGTTCTTCCAATAGCAAAGGACCATCCTAAACCTCATCTGAGCTACACCCGTTCCACTGTGCAGCCAGATCAGGGCCAGCTCCCCACCCCTTACCCCCACTCCGGACAGATCTAGCCTTAAGATGGACCAAACACCACCCATTCAGCTCACAGGGTGAAAAGGTTGGGCTCCACAGACCTAAATACTGCTGATAATAAGTGATCTATAAAAATGTGTGTAGAATAGAATAAAATGGTTAAATTGAAGTAAGTTGTCTTTTTTTTTTTTTGGCTGTTAAAAATCCCTCATGTTAACCAGTTGAATATGCATAAGACTACTTGTCATTTACCCTTTTGGGTAACCAAATGCGAGTCAAACCAGCACATTAACCAGACCTCATAGTGCTAGATCTACCAGAAAGAATGATTGGGAACAGACACAAAGGCAAAGCATCACTATTCAGCAACTGTCTGATAGTGATCCAGGCTCCAGTGACACCTCAGTGGTCTTGAGTTTGTGGAAACAGATTTATGTTTCTGCAACTATCCTTTAATCCATGGATGCTCAGCGCCTGGCCTGAAGTTCAGATCTGATCCCTAACACTAGGTTATCCAGCCTGCAGGGATCACCACGGATCTGAAAATATGGTAAGAAATAATGCTGCCAAATTTCTGGACTTGTGGGGAGCCCCACAAGCCACAGAGCATGGCCCTGCATACTGAATCAGGTGTGCAGGGTGGTGCAGGGCCCCACCCCAGTGTACAGGGCCAGGCAGGGGTAGCATGGGGCTTCAGGGCCTGATCTCAGCACACAGGGGCAGCAAGGGGCCCAATGTAGCCCATGGGTAAGCCCCGTACTACCCATCTGGCCTGTCAGACCAAAGATTGAGCAGCACTGCTTTAGTCTGTCACACCTTTACAAGTCCTTTGCTGTCTATCGTTTTGGTATTTTTCAATCACAATGATGAACTTACTCTCCCAAAATACCCTCAGGTAGGAATGGAAACCATTTCATTCTGGTGTTCTATTTGGGTACTATTACTACTTAAGAGTTTGGGTGATCCACCTTGCCATATTGGATATGTCTGTAGGCCACCTTCCCAGTTCTCTTGAAAATGCTGCCAAGGAGTATGCCTTCTCACCCATTCCTGTTTCAGATGTTTGTCTACCGCTAAGGGGGCTTAGTCCAGAGCTTGGAAGATAGAGAAAACACAGATTCTGGTATGCTCAGATCCAGGTGCTGGAAACTAATGTTTATGTTTAGCATATACCTTCAACAGATTCAAAATTCAACAACCTGGCAGAGGAGGAGGTGATATCTGATTCCACAGTTTGCATTAATGGGAAAGGCAGCACTGTGAGTGATTCAGATGCCTTGCTTTCTACATTCAGTTAAACAGCAGATGTAATTCTGGCCTTTACAACAAAGGTCATACATTAACTCCATTTCTCTTACACACAGACCTAGCTTTAGACTGTAACTGGAATCTCTATTGTGATTAATTTCTTAAAAGAAATTTAAAGCTTTGTCAAAATCCCTAGAGGCCACACAGTAGAAGTACTAGTTAACCTTTGCTGACTTTTTGAACTTTTGCCTAGGTGCCTCAAAACATAAATATCTGCAAACATGAGGGCCATTATCCTTTATTATTGTGTTTAACATCCAAATAAATTTGATTTAAAGATAGCAAGTATTCAGATGGGCAAGCAGACAAAACAAATGCTTAACTCTTGTTCCATTCCAGGTTTTGATCATGGACCTGATTGTTTTTTTAAAAATAAATTAAATCCAGTATAATCTTCATAACTGTTGATTATGACTATCAGAAATGAAAAAGGAACCTTTAAAAATATTAAAATCTCACTGTCTCTCTCCTAGAACAGATATAAGTCTAAACCAAACATAAGATACTGGAGCTTAATGTACGGAGATGCCCGCTGGTCTATTGTTTCAAAGACAGAAAGTTCAATGTTACATAGATGATTCATGTACTGCTGTTATAAAGCTTTTAAAACAGTCATTAGTAGTGTAAGGATGGGTGGCAAGTAGGGCATACCTAAGCAGAGAGACGGAATGGAGTGGAGGAGACTGCCTCATCCTCCTAGCCCCACCTCTCCTCCATCTGAACCCTGTACCTTCCCTGCTGTGGCTCTGGTGCCGGCAGTGTGAAGGGACAGAGTGGCAATAGCAGCATACCATGTAGGAGCAGCTAAAAGTTCACTACTGCGGAAAGGAGATGTCACCTGCTATTTTGCTGGTGATTTTTTAGCTGCTCAACACATGTCAGCGGCAAAAAAAAAGGTGACTTTCTCCCCTGCAGCAGCAAACCTCCGGCTGATGCCTCTGCAACCAAAGCTGCCACTGCCCAAGACATGATACTGGCCAATTATATCTCTGACACAAGCATCAACAGAGCACAGTACCTTATTGTAACACAAGTTTACATATTATTGGGCCCATCCACACATTCTTTAATGCACCATAATTAGGGCACATTAAGTTTAGTACAGGTACTAACTTAATGCGCTTTAATTGGCACTACTGTGCAGTAGTGCTGGTGCATGCTTTTTTGTGATGCTAATGCTCAGTAGACTAATTCTACTGTGCATTAGCACATTTTTTGCTGGTTGCACTAATGCTCAGGAGAATTAATCTACTGTGCATTTAGCATCTTGTGTAGACACACCCAGTATTAATCAGCAAGGATCTCCAGGCTTAGACAAGGGAAAGCTCCTGAAAGCATGCACCATTCAATGGGCACACCAAACCTGTTATTCAATTTGCAGGTGTTTTGAGCAAACCAATGCCAGAAGTCTCACTGGGAGCTAAAATGTAGATAACATCTGATTCCTATCTAGTTGGCAACTCATAAAAAAACCTTGTAAAGGTTTTCATATAGCTGGCAGCTTTCCTTCCCCATACTCTCACCTAGAGTGCTACAGCACCCCATCAATGAATTTTGGGGAGGTTTGTGCAATGTTTATGAATGAGGTAGCAATACAAACACCTTCTAGTTATAGTCACACAACCCAGGCTGCATTCATGGTCCCACACAGTTCTGCAGTAGAGTATATCCCCCTACTTGTCTAATGTTAAAATATTTTTCCATGGAGAATTTTGGCTTATAACGATGCTTTAAGAGAGTGCAATGTTACCTTTGGCATTTACTAAGGCTTCAACCCCATAAAACACATAAGAACACATTTAAGTATCTGAGTAGTTCTATTGACTTCAATGAGACTACCCGTGCTTAAAACTAAGTAGGCAATTAAGTGTTTCACCAAATCAAGAAGTAAATGGCTGCTTTACTATCAAATAATAGACCTATGCAAGAGGATACTTTATACCTCCAACAAGGGTTTGGTTTCTCTTCCTCCTACATTAATACATTGCACTATATTTAGGTAACTGGTGTGTGTTTTCATATAAAATAAGAGAGGTTCCAGGCTAGAATCAGTTTTAAAGAATATTTTGGAATTTATAATTCTTAAAAATTAATCTTTGCCACCTTCAGTGATATTACAGCTCTCTGACATTCAGTTTATGATAGTCAATCATGTGAAAATTCAGGGTATTCATTGACAAAAACGTGCAAAATTTGTAATAGGTTTAATACTGCCCTCTAGTGAGTAGCAGGGACAACTACACTAGTTTAAAGCAGGGGAAAGCCAAGTTTCAGGTAAAGGTTTGATAAAGGCAGTATAACTGCATGCAAGTATGGTTAGTCTTCAGAGCTATGTCAACTATTTAATTTGAAGACAGGCACAATTCAGCAATATTCCTATCCATATTGTAGTGTCCATTACAGGAGACAAAGGAATATCCACTTTTCCCTTAGGAGTGAAGAGTGAAAAAGGAAGGCTTTTGAACATGACACTAGTGTTTTTAAAAATATCCTCATGGTATTTGATGTCAGGAATAATTATGAATTTTTTTTCCACAAAAGTTTAGAAAATGGACTATAGAAATAAATAAAAATATAAACATATTTTACTTACTTTAAGCTCCCCATAAGATGAAAGGAGTCCTGCCCCATAAGCTTTGATGGATCCATTTTGTTTGCAGAGCCCAAACTCAATAGTAAACCAATAGAGCTGATGAGCAAGAACATTTAGTGAAAACCACCATCTCAATAAGCAATCATTTCCCTTTATTGTAACTTTCTTGTTGCCCTGTCGCTCTTTTGTTTTTTTTCCCCTTTATTACATTTTTCTTAATTTCTTGCTATTTTTTTAAACAAGTATATATATTTTCAGAAGATATCCACATCCTTATTTAAACTACATTATTCAAACGTGAAGTCACTTTGTTCATACTACAGGGAAACTGGACATTATTCTTTTTACTGTATGTCTGCTCCCAACTCACCTTGCTTTGGAAGATGTTTCAAACTACGTTGAGCCATGTTAGCTCTCAATTGCATCTTAGTCAATAGATCCATAGAGCTAGAGGGGTCTCCATAAAAGTATAATGAAAGCCCATGCAGACCACATGCCAGCTCAGCCCATAGATTGTAAATGTCTCTACTGCACTTCTGTAGATGGTATTATTAGCAGAATCTTTAAATCGTTCCTGCTTTAGCAGTGACATTCACTTAAAAATGAAGCCAGATTCATCTTTATCTTGTTGCTGCAGAAAACAAGCAGGTGTATCAGTTGGTTAACCTTGCCAGTTGAAACTGTTGATACATTACAGACAGGTCTGTAACCTTGCCCCACAGCCCTTTGCTATCTCTTCCCTCTAAAGGTGCAGGGGGAGGAGGCAGGCATAGAAGGCAGAGTCTGTGCACTCAGCACCTTCTCCCTGTAAGCTAGAGGACAAGCAGGCGACAGGACCTATGCAGGGAAAGAACAAACCAAACTTTTTTCCAAAGGTTTCCCTATGTGTCAATTCTAGAATGCCAAGTTAATTTGGTCTTTCTTGACCCTAATATCTGTAGCGTAATCCAATGTAGTGTATGGGGCAATGTAGGCAGGTCAGGCATGAGTGCTGACAGCTTTCAATCTGTCATGGTCACACCCAGTTGTGTAGAAATGGACAGATGAACCTTAAGAACTGGGTGAACTAAAGGGTATTTTAGAGTTTGTTTTACTAAAAATTGAATGGCAACACTATTAGGGACTGTACACAGACAGCCTGGAGCTACCTGTTACTTTAAGATAAATAGCAGCTCAGCCAGGGAGCATGGCAGGCTAAGCAAAACTGCAGGGCATCAGGGCAATAGGCTAATGGGGTAAATGGCAGGCACCTGCGGGCAGTCAGCTGATGGATGTAGGCAGCACCCTGGGAACATATAGTGCCCAAGGGGCACACAACTGCCTTGAGCCCAGCCAGGGGCAAGCTCAAGGCTCTGGTGAGTATTGAGCCTAGAGCGGGTATAGTGTGATGCACCGAGACAGGGGCCCGGCACCAGAGAGGGATGCAGCCGGCCAGGGGCCCAGCAGACAGGGACCAGGGGCCGGTGATGGAAGGAACAAACATGAGCTAGAGCCCCAAAGCCAGGTCCGATGCAGTGGGCCTAGGCTAGAAGGCCTAGCCAGATTAAAAGGGTGGAGGCCAGGGAAACCAAAGCCTCAACAGTGATGACCGTAACACCCACAAGGCATGAGGCATGGTGCAGGGGAAGATTTGAAGCCAAGTAATTAGCCCATAAGGCTTGAGGTACCCTCCGGTGGCACAGCTACTAAGTAAGGCCCAGTGTTGGGTGTGAGGACCACCAATGACCACTAGGGTGCTGGGGACCCTAGTGGGGGTTCAGTGAAACCAGAGCTATGCTAAGGTCTGTGGGCAGCATCCCTATCTATGACTATTTCTATCAAGGCATAGCAGGCAAGATGGAATGGCACTTTAGGGGCAGAGCAGGCACTGTTGCAGAGCCACCAGGGGGCAACAGCCACCCCTGGGACCTTGACCTTATTACAGGGACAAATCGTATTTCATCTTTACATATCTACATGTACTAATGCATCCAAATGTAGCTGCATAAGTGCCTTGGAAGGGA